GCAAAGAAAACAAAAATAATGACTTTATTCCACATTTTCCTCTCTACTGCGTCACTTGTGGACGCACGTTCACGACAGTATCATGACGCGAGCGTGTGGTGGCGCTGACCCAGATCCGGCGTAATGACGTCAGTGACGCAGTAGAGACGAAAATGTGGAATAAAGTTATAATAAAGTTATTTTTGTTTTCTTTGCGCAAAAATGAATCCTCGTAGCTTCGTAACTTTACAGTTGAACCACTGATGTCACACGGACTACTTTGTCGATCATCTTGGTACTTTTCTGGACCTTGAACGTGGTAGTTACCTTGCTGTCTATGGGAGGGTCAGAGAGCCCTCAGATTTCATCAAAAATATCTTAAATTGTGTTCCGAAGATGAACAAAGGTCTTACGGGTATTTTTGTGTGAACTAACCCTTTAATAACATTACAAAAGATTTTTATTTCAAATAAACCCTGTAATTTTTTTCTGAACTCTTTGAAGAATAGAAGGTTTTTTGAACTTTCTGTTCTTCAAAGAATTCAGAAAAAATACGATTTAAATATTTTAATTAATATATTTGTTTAAAATATGTATTTGTTCTGAAACTAGCATTATATATTAGACTGAATGGCCAGTATAATCAAGAATAAGACTGTGGTACCTCGTCTGGACTGGAGGCCTGGTAAACCCTGCAGGTGTCTTCATAGTGCTGTTCAGCTTCTGCCTGATCCGTCACACCGTTGGACTCATATACCGGGGTCACGTTGTGCACCAGTGCAATGGCCTTCACTGCCTCGTGCACTCGACTGCTGATGGTCTTCCTCACTTTGGAGGCACCCGGTGCACGAGAGGCCTGCAGGTCATGTGGAGGCTGTGGAGATCAGATTTAACATGACTTGAATGCTTTAGAATGAATTAGAATGATTTCTGAAGGATCACGTGACACTGAAGACTGGAGTAATGAAGCTGAAAATTCAGCTTTGCATCACATGAATAAATTACATTCTAAAATATATTCACATAGAAAACAGTTATTTGAAATTGTAATAATATTTCAGAGTATTAGTGCTTTTACTGTATTTTTGTTCATATATTGTCCTTTGTAAGCAGAAAAGACTTCTTTCAGAAACATAAAAAAACTCCCCATACTTTTATTAATACGTTTAGTTACTGAATAAAATCTGAGTAAATAGAGTGATTTCTCTCAAATCATCCACTCTCTTGGGTCAACTTTTTTTTTCACTAAGCACTCTGATTGCTTTCTCCACAAAGAATATATATGCAATGCTACATTTTTCAAAATGAGGAATCTCAAACACATTAATAAAAAAACTGATTTCTTCATACGTAAAACTTTTTTAGTGTAAAGACAATACATAGTGCACATATAAAGATGCATTCTCGCCATTTTGACTCTCTAGGACCAGATCTGAAGCAAAAATGTCCATGTTTCTGATTGTTAATAATGCTAATATCCTGAAAAAGGACTCATAAATGCTCCCAGATGTGTTACATATATAAACAATTACCTTTAGCACTGAGCTACTATTTATAGAGTGCACATTTCTGAGGGCTAATGACAGAGTTTGTAAGTTCCTATAAAAGCTATTGAGAGGCCGGAGTACTTGTAACCCGGTTTCCTGCCTCGGTGACCTCTGGAGTCAAACGGACAAAACATATCAGTGAGAGGTGAAAGGGACTCATTTTACAAGGACTTCACTCTGTTGGCTGGACAAAAGCTCAACACAATTGTGCTTGTGAAGGCTTTTCTAAACAGGATGGTTATACAGTGACGGGCCACATCCCAATCCGCATATTAAAGGTGGGTGGTATGACCAAAATCATACATCACAGATAAATCTACGTCATTGTTATGATATATTTCCATTTATGCATTTGGCAGATGCTTTTATCCAAAACGTTATACACTGCATTCAAGCTACACATTTTATCAGTTCATGCATTCCCCGGGAATCGAACCCACGACCTTGGTGTCGTTACCGCCATGCACAATTTTTCGGTTCAAATTATGGATTAAAATGTATTCTTTTTCATTAGACTTTCAAAAAAATGTATTCTTTATTAAAAAAGGACTGGTTTTCTTTTCTTTTTTTTTTAGTTTATGGACATAAACCAAAGCATAAGATACTATATTTATGATAAATTTGACATTAGAGCAAAAACTTTGTAAGCTTGTAGCGCTGCACAATTTTGCCAACATTTCGAGATTATATATCAATATGACTGACAACAAAACAATAATAATAAATGTATTAATAAATGTATTATATATATATATATATATAAAACAATGCTTTAAATAAAACCCAAAATGAGAAATAGTATTACTGCAATATTAATTTTTAAATGTTAAACCATCAAATTTTTCTTTTGACGGGAAAATGATTGGAGTCCTTAAAGATTCTCTTCTGTAGACAAGTGCTTTTCTTTACAAGTTTGGGAAGATGGTTGGTGCATGCTGCATCATTGTACCTTACAAAATGAAATTACATTCACTTTGAAACTTTGCCCAAAAAGTGGCTGTACATCAATTGGGACACAACCGTGCTCCGTTTGCCATGCAGGGAATCCTGGGAATACCTGAGTGTAAGCGCTGAACACGTGACTCTGCACTTCATCCATCGAGTCCATGCCGTACGCCACCGTTCCAAGATGGAGTCGTCTGAACACCATCTCATTCTGAGTGAGGGTTCCTGCGAAAACCATTAACATTAGAGGAGGCCGACCCATCCTGCCTAAATAAACAGTCCTGCTTATATAATTTCAAGTATAGGTGATCATTTGAGCAGATGTTCTAGTAGTAATAAGTGTTGTTGTTATTAACTAAAATTATTCAAAATTGTTTTTGCTATTTGAAATAAAGCTGAAATAATAAAAATTTGATGAAAAACCTCATTTTTGAATGAAAATTAGAACTGTTGCCATGGCATCTAAATAAAATAAGTTTAGTTGAAGTTCTAAAATGATGAAATGATGAATACGATGAAAATATAAAAATAAAAGCTAATTCAAAATATTAAATTAATTATATAAAATTAAATATTAAATTACATAACAGTATATAAATAATACAAAATAACACTGGTAACATTTACTGGCACAGTTCCTATCAAATAAAATGAGATCAAATGTCTAGATCAAAGTCACAACAGGGTATTTATAGTTAACTAAATAAAGCTGCAGTCTGCAAGTTTTGCCTCTTTGTCGCCATCTCTGTTTGAAAACCTGCAATTGCAGCTGTGTGCGGAATGATCTTCTTTGCGTGGGTTGTACTCTGGCACGGCTCCAGCGCGGATTAATCTAATGTTCTGAAGAGTATGTGTGGCAGTCAGTCACCGCACCGGTGTGGATATTTACTGTACTTCGCAATCACAGATTCTAGCCTACGTCTTGGAATATATGACTCAAATAAGCATTTTCACCGGATATTGTCATCTGAACAAGTAACAAGTCTGCCACATTTGTTCTGACCAACTGAGGAAAAAAGCATTACAATAAATCTTGCTACCAATGGTGATTAAATCTAACGATCGGTTAGCTCATATCGCATCAAACCGTGCAAATTAATATTATTGTTATACTTTATTCTCAAATTGTTAATGTTAACAACATCAGCACTGCATGACTAGGAGTATAGTGTAGTGTTGTCAAAAGACCCGGTACTTCGGTACCAAGTCGGTACCAAAAAAATGAAAACGTTACGGTACCAGGTTTTTTCAAGTACCGGTGGTACCGAGTACCCGGTCAACCCGGTTCTTGATGCGTTATCCGAAAGGTGCGCAGATGCGCTCTCTTCATAAAAGGACTGAGACATGGCGGCCTCAAAATGAGGAAACACACCAAACTAACAAAACACTT